GTTAACCAGGTATTTCGTTCAAAATCGTGAGAATGTTTTAGGGGAAGAATATTAGATCAAGATGAAGGGTGGTTAATTTTTTCCAGGTGAAGTGTATCGCACTCAACGAACTTCCAAGCTGTAGTATGCAAGGGCTTAGTCAGTGTCCAGAAGTGAGGTCTTTGTCACTTCAAAACTGCGGATTGTTGGTAGTTGAAGGTTTAGACAAGTGCAAAGAACTACAAGAACTTCATTTACAGGTAAGGAACTCCGTGTCAGTTCCCAGCCGTCTTCATAATCACACGGCAGCCAATTGAAGATCAAAAAAATTAGGTAGTGTGTTTGGTAGTGTGTCGGCCGACGCGTCGGTAGGATCGGATTCTTTACCTTACCAAAAAATTGATAGTGTTTTGTAAAAAAGCAAAGTACTGTACTATATAAAACATCCGTTTGAATTAACTATAAAAAACAAAGACGCAATTTAACCTGTAGAGAAAGATAAAACAACGTCTGTTTCAAAAAAAATGACTGTCCTAAGAAGCCGCAGAACGAAGTGCGTCTCTCAGCCAGTACACCTTTCGCACATGATGCCCAAACCTTAGACATCAGTATTGCATTTAGTCGTCACGGTTACATTAAACACATTGTGTGCAATAACTCCACCAACGAACCAACTCACAGACTCCCAAAATTAAGACACTGGTTACACAGAAAGTGATAAGTCATCTTTCTGCTCCCACTTTTATTTCAGGGTAACAACATTGAAGCAATCAACCTCAAAGATCTTCCTAAGCTGGAAGACATATCTCTTGCCAACAACAACTTATCCTCTGTCTATGGATTAGAAGGAATTGGTTCCATTATGTCTTTGGACTTGAGCAATAACAAGATCACCAGAATAGGTAAAAAGAAAGAAAGAAATAGAACCATTTATGTTATGATTATTAATGGTGCGTACACTGTATACGCTGAATACTGTTCAAAGGGAAGGTACCTGCATATCGTTAGACGCGATCTCCTCTTTTCGTAACCTGAGTCTCATTTCGCACCAGTGGCCGTCAAAATTTGATGTGAAATTTTGCAAAGCAAATTAAAGTTTGTTCACAGACCTTTATTTAAGATCATTACTCTTTGCGCGTGCTAATCAAGAAGCGCAGAAAATTAAACAAACGCGAACGCCAGGGATGTTGCTTTCATGTTTCCGCTCGTTCTCGCGCGGTGGCTCGCTTTTCTCCCTCCTCGAGCGACAGTAAAGGAAAGAAGGGCCTTGGACAAACCACGAAAAGTGAAGAAGAAACTGTTTCTTACTCCTTATGTATTTCATCCTTAGTGATATAGTTGTTTCATGAGAAATGGGTCATGACTTGCGAGAAACGGAACTCGTTCTACGAGAAACGGGAAAAGAGGTGTTACGCTAGCGTTGAGAAGTACTAGAATTGCAGAAGGTCTTCTTGACACTCTGGATCTGGTTGTTTGGCGTACAATTGTTATTTCTTTTCGGTTAACTGCCTGTGAATTAGCAATACGTCGACAATCTTCCTTCGACCATTCAATTGCTGATTTGGAACTGTAACCTATACCTCAGTTGACTGCTCACCGTTATGTTAACGATTGTAACTGATCGATATCCTTGCACGAAGGACTCTTGGCTTGTTTTGACGGTTTTTGTTGTTTCGGTACGAATATTTCGTTTAAGAAATAACCGTCTTCTGTCCACCAACATAGTGCCGTTTCTTTCTTGTGCAGGAGATCTAGCATCCTGCAGGAGGCTTCAGAAACTACTCATGGATAACAATCAACTCATAAACACCAAGGTAATGTGAAACGGAAGATGTCGTGATGCTGGATGCTTCGCGAATGGAACTTCTGCAATATTCAAGTTGGGCCACGACCTTGAAAGAAGGTTCTCTTTGGGCAAAAAATGATAAAAGACCGATTGGTAGACCTTATTCTCTCAGTAGTACTGTAGAGTCAATAACTGAGCTTTTTTTTCTCGACAGGGTTTGTCTTGTCTCTCAAGACTTCAGCACTTAAGTCTGGCTCACAATCACTTGGCTCGTGTCAGTGAGATTGACAACTGTCTGCTGCTTCAAACGTTGAATCTTCGAGCAAATAATTTACTAGAAGTGAGTAGATTACATCTTTCAAAATGTGCACGTTGATAAACTGATTTTTTCATGTGATAATTATTTTGAAGAGACTTCTTTTTATTCATCACAGCCTCCTCGTGTTGTAAACAGTGTTCTCTTGAGAGAGCTTAGACTTGATGATAACAGCATCTCTTCCTTAGATGCCCTGTCGACTGCATGGCTACCCTTGCTTCAGATTCTCAGTGTGAGCCAAAACAGGTGAGAAACAAAAATACCATAAGGATGCAGGGTTATGAATACTTCTTGTAATTCCTCATTATGTTGTCCAACCCGATCGCCCCTCAGAATGGAGGCCTTTTCGATTGAGTGTCGCAAAACCAGAACCAAAGAAATCATGACGGAGAGTAAGAGCAAATTTCAATTGAGTGTCGAAAGTAATCCATGGTTGGATTGGTTTTGCCTCACTACGGTCTGTGACTGATCTAGAAAATTCGCGCCAATCTCTCAACCAATCAAATGCAAAACTAAAATCGATCGCGACGTGGTAACCCGCGTTTTCCCGCGCTACAGGGAGTTTGCGTGTTTGTTTTGTTCTGATCGGCCGTTGTGATCACTCGGGTTTTTTCTTCCGGGTCCTCCGGCTTTCCCCCCTCCAGAACCTGTTCAGTGACACTTACTTGTAACTTTCTCCGTTAGAATCATGTATTTCATGTATATTCATTAGGTTTCAGGTTCTCATCTTCACTCCTGTTTACTAAAGGACACCTTTGAGTGGCAACACCGTACAAGAACCCCAATAACGTCACACCGTTGATTTAAGTCGAGACTCCAGAACTCGAAGCACTTTCTGAAGATAGTTTCGAGTGATCGCTCATAGCACCTGTACAAGCTCGTAGTTGTATTTTTATTCAGTCACACAGTTGTCTTCGTAATTTACTGAGGTTTTCATCGATATTTCGCGTTTGTTTGTAGCATATCTTGGTTGGCGCCTCTCGGTAATTTGATCACGCTGGAGTTTTTGGATATCAGCAACAACCTAATATCAGGTATGAATATTGCAACCCAACTTGTTTGATTTGGCTCGCACTTTTAGTGGCTTCTAACGATGAGAGGCGGCTACATTCGAAAACTACGTTTGTTTCGAAGACTTATTGTGTTTAACTGCTGCTATTTTTTTTTTTATTTTCCAAAACAGTATATCCATTAAGGATTTTTTCAATTGTGCATGAAAAAAAAAAAATTAGCTAAGGTGGTCGTGCGCAATCCATGTTCAATTTTAACATCCTCGTTTATTTCCATTTTAATCTCCCCTCCTTAATTTTTTCATTTTTTCTTGCAAAACTGATATTTTCTCTTGGTCCAGCTTGCTTTGGCAGTGAATTGGCACCCAGGAGAAAACGTCTCAAAACATTTTGACGCGTGTGTACTCTAGTAATTTTTTCAGAGGCCTCTATTTAGGAGAAACTAGCGCGGGTCTGGTGGATATCGACTTCTGGAAGTTTTCACTGTGTTTCTGTTTCCATCTTTATCTGAAGTGATTCACCACACACCTATTTATTATAAACATTTCTTACAGACACTGATAGTCTTCTCCACGGGCTACAAAACTGCCACAGAATTAGAACATTAAAGGCTGCAGAAAATCCTGTTTATGAAGATCCTAACTGCAGGTATTTTGTTCTACATTCATACTCTTGGTGTTTGCGAACATAAATTGTTGTAGCTGACACTGACTGAGATATCACATCATCTTCACAGAGCCTTGATACTGGAATACCTGCCAAACCTATTGAGTTTGGACGACGAGATTACGCATCAGAAAAGCAGAGTAAGAAAAATTCTAAACAAACTGAGGAATTTCCACAGCTTTGATAGATCTTTTCATTGAAGAATGATTTCTTACGTTGTCTCACTGGCCTACAATTGGCGTTTTCTCTCATCGCAGGTTTCAGCTGAGAATCAAGCTGTGTTCCTTGAAATGTGTCAGAACCAACTCCAATCTCAGGATAATATAAAGGCCAAGCAAGAAAAAGAACTCGGGTAGGCTTTGAAACAAAACGCGCAATGTACGGTGAAGCCACGACGTAACAAATGGTTCAGGGTTATTGCGTTACTTGCCTGTGCGCATTTTTGATTGCGCCGAGTGCCAAAAATAATCTAGACTGGTTTTATTTTAGCCATAGTAACAAGAGTTGAAATCAGACGTTTTGACTGGACTGCTTGCTTGTATTTAGGGAATTTTTTTACCGTAACTGTAATTAATTTAGTAGCCACCAGGTATCAATATGTATACATTTTTATCCAACAGTGAGATTACGGACGCAAGAAACCCAGAAAGTGTTGTAAGAAGACTACGCTTAAAGGTAAGACAGATTTTTTTGACTATCTACTGTTCTGTGATGTGAAAGTGAATTTTTTTGAGGAAAGATAAAAGGTGGTTGATCTCCAATGAGAAGGTCGAGAAGTGGTATTTTATTTCTTTACTTATAATGTTTAGTTCTCCATTTGTTGTTGTTGTTGTGGTTGTTGTTATCATTTATAATAATGATAGTTTTTTTATTTTCTATGAATGTCAGAGTAAACACAGCCAGGAAAGATTTGAATTGGCGGTAAAACGCCTGCTTGAACACGAAAATTTCAGTTCAGAAAACGCAAGTTGTATAGTTAGGGAAGAGAAAACTTTGGACGGCGACAGAAGCCGAGAAGAGAAGGCACAGTTGCACCATCCACAGATGCACCAGCCGAGAGCAAGGAATGAAAAGGAAGGAAAAACTAAACAGTCAATAGATCTACTGTAAGTTGAACAATTAAGTTAATATCTGAATTTAGTGTCACTGCGAAATTTCATAATCCATTGCATTAAATACTTGTATGGAGCGGATAATTTAGCTTGAAATTGTGACTCCGCCTTTATTTCGTATTGCGCGGGTTTTTGGGCATTGCGCCCAACTTGACGAAACGATAATTTTGATGAACGACAAATCTGACAGAACGTGAATTCTGAGCAGCATCGGATTTTATGCGACGACTATTTTCGCGCGGTTCCTTTTGTTGGAGTGGCACTCAACTTGTGCGCCATGTGATATCGCATCACGCTGCGCTGCGCTGCGCGTCAAATTGTGCACACTTTCATCTTGATTTTTCCTTCGATTTTTGTCGCTGTTTACACCAGCAGATCAGTGTGAACTTATCTGTTTAAATAGGGCACAACAACATGTGGCTGCTACTAAGATCCAGGCGCTTTGGAGGGGATGGCACATCAGGCATTTGATTGATGTCAACACCACTAAAGTAAGTTCATTGTTTTACTGATGATATAGCAAATAATTTAACCGTCTGTTTACCCTTTCGCTCTCAAGATCTCATTAGTAATTCTCCTTACTGTCTGGCATACAATTCCTATGATGGCAGTTCGGAGAATTTGGTATTGGATCAACCATCAATCCCCTAATTGATATTTTTCTTCATTCTCAACACTTGTCTGCGTGATGCTGTTTTGATATTTTAAATATAAATTTTTTCATGGTCACTCATATGAGTTTAAGGGTTAAAGCCAGCGGTTTGGCTGTGAAAAAGTGCTTCACAGCTTTCGTCTTTTGCTCGTGGTGGCTTACGGTACGATCATGGTTTATTGTAGGTGCTTGTAAGAACCGAGAGGCTATTAATTGGATAACTAAATTCGAACCTTTTCGAGTTTCTGCAAAAACACCTCAGAAGAGTTGATTAGATAACGAAGTCGGAACCTTTAGTTTACAAAAATGCCAACAGTAGATTTGATTGGAAAGCAAATCCAAACCTATTAAAATGATAGCGAAGGTGCCCTTCGTGGGAATTTTCGATGTGAGAACCAGTTCGGATATTTCTAGAAGGATTTCTCATCCAAAGGAAAATGTAAGACGAAACACTTCTTCCTCCCCTTCAGTTAACAGTCAAACATGATCGATAGTTTTGTCTTTATTCACAGTGGCTCGCAGCTGTGACCATTCAGTCAGCCTGGCGGGGCTACCTGGTTCGCTCACAACTCAAGAAACAACCCAAGGAACCATGGGATCCGAAAAGAAATTCTGCAGCCACCATAATTCAGGTGAAGACAGCATCACGAGTGATTTCTTTTACTGGTATTAATTTCAAGATTGGAAATGGACGAACCATCAAAAGTAATCCGAGATCGCATTCATTTTTCTTTGCTTCGTGCTGTGATTAGTCCAGAAATTTTCCGCTTCCCTTTCGACAAAACAGATGCGAAACCAAAGGGAGTCTGCCTCAGGTCACTCGCCCTTTCCTACTTATCATGAAGTTTGCATGTTTTTTCGCTTTAAATTCTCATCTTCTACTTTTGTTATTTTCCTATCTCATGGCTGGCCGTTGCAATGACAACCTTGGTGTTTGGTTTTACGGCACTCGTCTGAAATGCGCATTAATAAGGATGGTTCTGGTTATAAAACATGATGCCAAAGGCTTTCTTCCAAAATAAAAAATATTTGTGGTCGTGAATTTCCTCAGAGTCCCCGCCATGATAACTCTTGTTTACCGAAAGACCAAATTATTCCTCTTTTTCATTCAGGCGCATTTCCGTGGTCAGCGAGTTCGTCGCCGGCTTAATGAAGCTCTGAGGGCCGCTCAATTTTATGACGATGAAGGAGAGGAAGAGTTTGATTATGATGAAGAAGTGGATCTTACGGCTTTCGATTTTGACGAAAACGTTTTAGAACAAGGATGGACACCGAGTGAAACTCCACAGCTTCCGTCCAGGTCTGTTTGGTTACACAAGGAAAGCTCATATGTTTGTTTCTCAGCTGTGACCTGGCTTACCGTTGGTTTAGAACTGTTGAATTATGGGCAGGGGGTTGATTGGCAAAGTAACAACTTCTAATCGATGGCTGTTTTTTTCGATTGTTTTTCTAATCGAATACAAATTGCTTTTGTTGGTTCTTTCGATTATCCATGTCTTTCTGGTAGTTTTCCTGGCTGTTTCCCCATGTAAAAAAAAAGGCGTACTATCCGTGAACCCTTTACACTCCAACATCAGTATGCATATTCTCTTTAGTGTTCTCTGTACATTCCCTAAGATGCTGATAAGGAGAGTTTGTTTAAAAATCAAGAGCATCTTTAGTTGGTGATCATTTCCTTTATTCTCATGACCATAATGTATGATTCAGAGGTGATGTTGTAAGGAGAAAATAGATGTTAGTCACTCTTAGGGATCAAAGGGTTCATGGCAAAGTTCTTCGAAAACGAGAAATCTACCACCGTTGGAATGGGTATAGAGCTTAACTTCGTTAATTTTTTTACCCTCTTACCTGTAAAGCGAAACCATTTTCTTTGAGATTTTGGCTCAGGAGCTGGCAATAAGTCTTCTCTAAACGTCACTTCACACTTGTTAAGGAAAACCCAATGTGTAATTTAAAAAACATTAAGCGAACAAATTTTAATGGTGTAGAAAAGCCGAATTCATTGTTACTAACTTGAAGTGCTCTGATTTGTGTTCAAGGGGACCAGTGTTAAAATCACCTGGGAAACCAATTAAGGTATGAGTGAGATGCCATCATTGCTAATTATCGTCTTCAATCTTTAACGACTAGAGTTTATAATCCACGAAGTTGTGGTTCTTACCAGAACTTTTGTACAATTTCCTCATAGTTTTCTTGTGTGTTCTACAACTGGAGATGTTGCCAAGCTCCTCATATCAAACGCCGTGGAATAAATTATTTGAATAAAAAATGCAGATCAATTAAAATTGGAGAATAAATTTGAGGCCAAAGAAACGGTTTCTAGTTTTTTACTGAGATGGAATTCTGGGGAAAATACGAGATAGGGGAAAATAAGTATGTTATCACATTCTTACCTCGTATCTTTATCCTTTGATAATTTTAGTAAACGTGGTAATCATGTCCACAATACTTGTTCATTTATAGACATATCTCGAAAAGAATTCCAGAGCTGCCTTCCAACCAGAACCCACGGCACCAAAACCTCATCACGCCTGGCGTTCAGCAGACTCACCCATTACCGATGTCTATCAACTGCCTGTTCGCAAGGCAACCATAGATCATGACCAGATGTCAGTGACTTCTGGCTTGCAAAGTCATCTGTCACATCGTGCAGAAGAACTGAGCAGCGAGTGGTAAGGATGTAATTGATGTTTTAAGACAGGGTTGCCCTCTTTCATTCTGTTTTTTATTCATGTTAGAAAGCCTTGAAAGCTTAACTGAAAATAAGTTCTCAGTTCAGGTGATGAATTTTCCTTCTGCTTTTGACGCATGTATACATGTACTAAGATCCATTTATCGTCTCCGAATTAGCTTACAATTGTGTTTGAAATAAGTGCGCCAATCAGAGTCTTGCACGGAGGGGTTATGCTTGAATTTCTGTAGGTTCCAGGCATGCTCCACCGTATTGTGGCCTTTGTAAACCTTAATAACGCCCATGTTATGAACACCTAGCATTATTACCACTATTACATTTAGGGGTTTCAGGAGTTCCGAGACAGCTGAACTGATGATGAGAAGAGCGAAAAAGATGAAATATAATCCCGCCAGAAGGAAAAAGCTGCTTGGTAGGTTTTAATGTCAAATTTATTCAGAAAAGAGAAAGGTTTAGCCCGCCACTACGTCTGAGGCGGTTTGTGTAGCTTTTCCTTGACATACCTTTAAACATTACGTTTTTCTACAGGAGATTCTCCTCCTGCAGTATGGACGCCATTTTTGCGTTTTTCAGAAGAGCGGGGTTAAGAGGGAGATAAGCGCGGGGGCGCGCGAGGGCGTGACTCGTGCAAGTGGAGTGGTTCGAAAAGGATGACACTTCTCTTCGTGCACGTGACTCACTCCTCGCGTTCGCCACGAGCCTGCCTGCGTACGTCCGACAAACGCAAAAATAAGCTTTTCCTGTTAGCCAAGTGCTAAATAGATAAATTATAGTGTGCACTGGAAGTTTAGTTTTGTAAAAAAGTTGTGAAACATTGATTACGATTGAGGGGCAAAGAAGATGTGGATCCCTCATTATGGGGTAGGATTCAGACCTCACCCAGGTCCGATCTTGAGCTCGAATTATTTATTTATTCATTAATTAATTTAGTTTTTTTTTTCCATTTTCATGAGATCCCAATAAACGTCTGGCTTTATTCAAGAAGCTGGAAGAAACCAATAAGTTTCAGGAGGTAAAACCACCGCCTACTAGAAGACAACCACCAAATAGAGTGGAATATTTTGCGGGTGAGGGTTGTTACTTAACAAAGCTAAACTGATTATTTTGGCAACGAAAAATTCGGATTTGCTTTTAGCTGCAACATTCATGTGTGGAAATAGGTTTGCTTGATAAGAGACAAGAAGTAGCTGTTTCTTTTCTTTTCGTTTTGATTTGTTTATGGTCTGTGGTTAGGTAAACAAAGCGGTCCAACGTCGGAAATGCTAGGAGGGATCAATTTTAGCCGCCTGCGCGCCAATTTTCCGCCCAAAATTTCCAAGGAAAGCACGAGACTACCGCTGTCACGCAAAATATGCAAAAGAAATAGAAATCTGCATAAGAAAACGAAAGTCGGGAAAAGGAAAACTCGAACCTTAGTGTAGTTTTTAACTATTATTACAATTATCCTGTTTATTTACAATTTTGTCAGTTTGAGCTTTATCAAAAAGATATACTCTTTTAAAACAGCGCGACTTTGAGGTTTGTTTGTCCATTTAAAACTCCAGTGAAGCTTCTTGGTTCTGACAGCCTCAAAGCGCGCCACCTTGGCCTTGAAAAGTTCGTACTTGCTCAGACGTTTGATCGCTGTCTTGGTGAAGTAAGGCCAGAGAACGGCTGGCAGTTTCGCCTGTTGATCAAACACATCGCCAAAGGAAAATTCAACAATCAGAATAATAAAATTTGTAACAGGTGATGTAGCGCAGGAAGATGATTAACGAGGACCAGGTGTTTGAAGATCTCTGGTATCAAATTTTCACAGAGTTCAACAAAGATATAGAGTTGATAAAGAGTTGCGATAACCGTCTAATGCCATTTTAAACCTGTTACTTTTGTGCTTTTCGATTTTCTGTTCTCTTCAGCGCGTGAAGCTATGGCTAGTCATCTGAATTCTACATCGCCGACCACTGAAAAGCAAAATAGGGAGAAAATGACTTACAGGTAAGCATTTATATTTACTAATCTCGAACCTTTGCTGTAGATGGTTCTGCTTTGTTTTTGTTTTTATCAAGTAATTACATTTAAAATTCTCATAAATCTGCGCAATGATCATGGGGTTACGGAGAATTACCAATTAATGATACAGCGCATGTAGGAACACGAAGGTAACAAGATTTAAGGAAGTTTTCTCCGTGATGGGACAACACCGTGCCTTACACTAGCCTTTCTACTACCGTAGAGACTACAACGAGTGGCGAAAGTCCTGGCACATACTTCTGCTATTGAATTTTTTCTATAGCTTTCATTTATCTCCCCTTCTTCTTCGATTTAAATGTTGCCTGATGTCAACGAAATCGTCGCTCATTTCGTGCAACAATGATTGGGTGAAAAGGGGCGCTTTCAAGTAACTTATCACTGATGAATTACAATATTTCTGTTTATTATATTGAGCGAAGGTGTTTAGACCGGCCACGTATCAGTGGGATGCGTTCCAACTACTTTTGTCACTTATTGCAAGTTACGCTTCACCTTGAGACTTCACTTCTCTGCTCTACTTCGTGAATTTACCTTGTCCCGTTGTGTCATTTGAAATGATTCTTATTCTTAGTTTTTAACACTCCTTTTTTTCTCTGCGGTTTCTAGTTGGGTTTACAGGCAGGCCGTTGTTCACGAAGACGAAGAGAAAAACATCATGGCCGACAGAAAGGAATACTCTCCTGATAACAGAGCAAAGAAAACCTCGCCACAAAAGTAATGAACCATGTTTTAGAAACCTATACAGTGCGTTCCTATACAGTGTTCTTTATATAGCTCCATAACGCTTTAAAAACGGCGGGATATGCATCTTTGTACGTGTGGGACACAGGCGCTCTGCACGTAACAAAATGTAATCAAGAACCCCTTAAGTTACAAATTTGTTCCGTAATAAAAGGTTTAGGTGCATCTTCACCAAAAAAAAAAAAAAAAGAGGGTTTTTTTTTGGTTGACATGCATAAGGACTTGAAATTATTCATCGTTACAGGTTCAGAAGACGGAAAGTCCGAGTCTGACATTTCCGCTTTGCCCGCTCTTAATCTATAGGGGAGTGTAAAGTTTCGTGATCTTCAAACGGTTGGCTGTTTTATTCATTGTTTGATGCAAAATTCAGTCCTAGAAGTCAACCAGCTCCGATAACGTTCTAGACTTTTGAAATGAAGACAAAAATAATAGTTCTGTCACCGCTGACTCGTGTAATTTTTTTCCTCGTGCAACCGGCATTACTTCTGTGAAGTAATGTTATCTGTTATTTTTCTTCACTAGAAACGATCGCTCCTCTGTCAATCTTCCCCACATGGATCCCGTGGTTCTCTCTGGACGTACCCTCCCACTGATAGTAAGTTATGTCTATCATTTTCGAATATAGTGTTGAGGAAGGATCAATTTGTTTAGCTAGTGGCACTCTATGATTTTGCGGCCTCCATCACTTGAGACTGATTTTAATTTGGGCTTAGATCTTTCCGCTTGTTTTTCGCAGTCCAGTCCACACTTTTCGCAATCCCTGGAACAATCGTCGCCCGAAGGGCTGTCCCCGAGGAGGAATTCATTTTCGTCAGGTTAGCATTCAGTAATTCAGAAGGATTGGTGAGATTTGATATAGAGGAATTTGTCTCTTTGGATCACTTGATCTCGGGAACACGAGTAGTTGAGTCACGGTTTTTGGAATAGATTATTTTACGTGATGAAAAATGTCCTTGGATAACATAAAAATTTGGAAAATCTTACGCTTGGATTGAAAAATACCAAAGAGGAGAGTGGCGCAAAATGAGAATAGGATCATTTAGGATAAAGCTGAGTGAGTTAGATTTGCTTTCCTTGAAGCCGGTGTCGTAAGGACTGTTCATTCCTTACTTAGAGGGTCACGTACGTTTTCCCGCAATCAAAACTCATTCCGTGCCCAACCTCCCAGCCAGGTCCTCGGCCAGTGGAGAACAACCATTGAAAACAGAGAAAAGCAACAGTGCTGGAGCGCGAATCAACAGAGAATCTAAAAACAAGAGATGATGGTAGTAATCGTGCAGTGAGATCCCGTGGTTTACACCTGCACTGCGACTGCCTTTTTGGACAGTGTTCAGCACCTTTGTTGAGATTCTATAAACTATTTCCGAGCCTATGGGGGAGGGGAGACTCTGAGACGCCAGAGCATCACAACCATCGGACATGTCTAAATTATAATTTCTTTTAATTAATTAAAAAACTTGAGAACTTAGGAAGTTATCGTTTATTTCTTAACGAGACCAAGAGTCAAACTGTTATCTCTCTTGTGCTGTAATCGGAATTTAAGGGAGTTATGAAATACCACACTGATTCTGTTGTTCATTTAATTTATTTCACAAGCGAATGTTGTTGATTTTGCTTCCCTTACCATGTCGCCCTCAGTCGCGTCGCTCCCAAACTGAATCATCTCGCCCTCGCGTGCAGACATGTCGCTTCAATTAGGTCATATCTAAGCAGAAACACTGAGATATCCTCATTACTGGATTTCAAAAAGTAATATCTTAAGCAAAAGCGAGAGTAACCAGTCATTCTGATGACGTGAAGTAAAGCGTGCTTTATTAAAACGTTCGGCTGAGACAACAAGCGAGTAATTAATTTTCAGTACACATCATTTTAAAGCGGAGACTGAAACACTTCAGATCAGCAGATTAACATATTTTCACTTCTATTTCTTTAAGAAATTAAGATGTTACTGTTCTCATGATCGTGATCCTTGGGATTCCTGTGCGTGGGATTCTTGAAATCGAGGTCCTTATACGCGGCATTCTCCGACTCAATTTCTCCGAACCTTATGCAATCCCACTCTCTCTTTGCGACCCCAGAATGGTTTTGGGTCTTCCTGCACAAAGCTGTTGGCAAACGACATAATTTTTCAGTTTGAACAAAAGATTCATGAACATCAGTCACAGAATAACATCAATCAGCAGTTGGTCATAGTTCTGTAACCCTTTAAACCTAAGATCAGTACGCATATTCTCCAAACTATTCTCCTTACGTTTCCTAAAGCTGCTGACAAGGAGAATATGTTAAAAAATCAATACCTTCTTTCATTTGTGATCATTTGCTTTAATCTCAGGACTTAAATGTGTGATTCAGGGTTGATATCGTTAGGAGAAATTAGATGCTAGTCACTCATAAGGGTGAAGGGTTGACATACTAGTACATGTATAGAGCCAATTTTTTATTGGTGGCCGTGGTAATCACTTTGTAATAATAATAATTTCCTGCTACTTTGGAGCGGAAAAAGCTCGCCACAATATTTTTTATCAGTGGTTAGTCGCGCCGTTGAAACCCGTTGTCTTAACTTACCTTCCCGGCTACGGACACGGCGTTCTCGACACAGACCCCACGCGGTTACACAGTTTTTGACGACATCCGCGTTTTTAGGGCTCCGTTCGTCCCACGCCGGATGAATTTGAAAACGCAACATACAATAGCCTACTTAGCCGGGGTGGATGGAATGGGGGAAGCAGTTTACATGAGCATGGAGCGCGAAAAATCCTTACACCCAACTGCCGCTACATGCATAAATTAGTAATGCAAGCTTTATGGACGTGACAACTGTTACCAACATACACGATTGTAAAATATTTATTTTCGTCTCAGAAATTCAATCAATATATCGCTCTAACCGTCACCGTGATATTGAACTCAGTTCTTCTATTTTAATTTACTGAGTGAAACGCGGCCGCAGTTTGCAAACATTTACTCAACAAAAGTAAATTTCTCCACCAAGCTGGTTAGTGCTTTTTCTTTGGGTTTTTTTCTTCCCTTCCTCCAATGTCTTGAATTTTTCGTGGGCCATGAAAGGGATATTAGTTGTTGTATTACGCCTTTACAAACACAGCATGATTATTTGTTCGCATTGCTAACTGAAGCAAACTCATCACGGATTCCCGAGGAAGAAGAAGACATTTTTAATGAATGACTGAAAAATGTAGGTATAGTGAAATAAGACTAAATTGTTTACTTTGCGAAAGGATAGAGAAGCTCTTACCTTTCCGGAAAATTTTCCTCCTCTTCTTCTTCTTCGTCTTCGTCGAAGTCATAGTCATCGTTCAGATAATCAAGACCCCATCCTTCATCAGTAACTGCATTGGCTGATACTTCTTTCTCGGCGCCAAAATCTCTCGCTTCCTCATTCCCAAATGTTTTCGAAACGACAGTTTGCTGAAATAGAACTGTGGACCATGCTACCATGGCGAAGAGAACAAACTTGTTCATAGTGGTGACCTTGTCTAAGTTGGTCCTTTAGTAAGGGACAGATAACTTTGAAAGGTGGTCAAGTTACACTGATAGTTTTTCCTTGGGAAGAGATTTTTTTATGCAAGCGTCACTCTGGAAAAACGCTTAACACTTAAAAATATTGTTTCTCCAATTATAGTTTATGCGCCAGCTTCTCAGGTCGATCAAATATATTGGTATTGACTAATAAGTCGTCGCCACGAAAAAGATTAATAAATAGAAAAACCGTTAAAGTGTTCCGATTCGGAATTAGAACTAATCACTAGTGCGTGCGTTACTTGCTAAAGTCCGGTACTGTTATGTATTTCCTAACTTTTCTTTATTGAGCTGGAAGAGTTACAAAACTGAAAGATCATATCACTGTCACAATACCATAGTATTGTCTTGTTCATTTTCCTGTAATTTTTAACAGCGTTTCTATCAGCTGATATTGATTCGCGTGAGCTCTCAGTGAAATAGAGACTGGTCGTCTGAAATCGTATTGTTTACCCGAGGTAATGATACTAATAATGTAATTGATTTGAGTAAGAACTGTGGACACATACATGTAGTTCCAGATTTACCCTAATAATTCTGAAGGAAACATTTATTAGCAATCACCTTACAAATTCTAAAGGACAATTCCAGTGATGTCAGAAACGACGCTCTTTCAGCCAATATTTTAACTTCCGCAGAGCAGGCGACCGTTGGAAAATATAGGGAAAAGCCGCAAAGATTCTTAGCATGGCTGTTAGAGTTCGAGAGATGCACTTCAAACGCGGCATTCGTTTGCCTTTTATACAGTGATAATATCGCGCAAATTAAGAACAATGAGGAACATATTTTGACTGCGGCATCCTCCCCTCCATGTCGACTGCTTCCTTACCTTCAGGGGAAGGATAAGGCATTAAACCTACGTGCAACATTAAGGATACACGCCTACACTCGACCATGTTGTTCGGGAAAAGCCCCCGTGCTCTGAGGATCGTAGACCACACTCGAGTGGTCAAACGTCTGCGCACGTGTGAACCTTCTGATGGGCAAAAAGCGATCTCTCGGGCGTCAGAGCCAGGTTGAATCGCAGGAGCTTTAGATTTCAGTATTTTTAACAGCCTGTAACTTAGGAGAAAGAAACCAAGGAAGGCCATGTTACAGAGAGTCACAATAATCAAGCTTCGAGGTGACAAAAGCGTGGATAACTATTTCAGTGGCGTCACGAGTTAAATACTTTCTAATCCCTGAAATTTTCCTGTGATGGTAGAAGCAAGAATTGAAAACATCTGCAATGTGCAGTTTGAAAGACAGGGTGTCATCAAGAATAGCTACCTCAGAATGCGAGCAGCCTTGGCTGTAGCAACTTCAACATCCACATCATTCTCTCGCAACCTCTCTTTTTTTATCAGTTGGTAAAAGGTGTCTTGAACGTGGAGCTCTTCAACAATTCTACTTTATGGTTTTGTGAGCGATAAAGCATTTTTTTTTCATTCGTTTCAGTGCGCTTTTGTCGTGATAGGGAATTGTTTGATTACCCAGCCTGCGTTACGAATATTCCACCTTAAACTTCTTGCTTGAATGGCTTCTGCGTGCATTAGAAGAACAAATTTCTTTTTGAAGGACTTCCTGACTTAAATCGATATTATTTTACATCCTAACCAAGGCCACGTTTTTCTTTCGAGGAAAATTCCAGCGGGAAGTTACTGATATTAAAAGTATCGCTAAAAGTTTCTCACGGTCACTTAAAAAGTTTTCTGTAGTTGGACAAAAGTTAAGTTGTAGATGTATATTAGTGTTTTGGCCAGTTTCAGCGTTATTCCAAAAGACGTTTTCTTGGTCCTCGTGGTCTCTATATGAGTTTGATTTCGTATTTTCTTCAACAAAATTCGTATATGAGACTCCTCAGGCTGTACTCATGCAATGGATATACTCCATCTTTAATCCATTAACTCCCACGACCTCATTGGTAATTCTCTTTACCCTCTGACATACAATTCTGATGACGTCAATTTGAAAATTTGATATTAGATCAACCAATAATTCTAATTGACATTTTTCTTTATTTGCATCACTTCTATGCTTGATATTGTATTGATATTGAAAGGAGAAATTCTCTCCTGGTCACTCGTGGGAGGTAAGGGGCACGGGTTAATACAATAGATGACAATGAGTCATGACTGAAGAATCTTTATTTGGGTGCAATTATATTCACCTACTTCTTTGACGGTCATAAGTGGAAATTTTGATTTGAATGTCTGTCTAAAAACATATTAAGTTCCTTGAAAAGAGTAAATTTGCGTTTGCGTGCCATGACTTTGTGGTATTAAGCAGACGATTATACTTGAAAAACATTAAAAAGCCAAAATAAATTTTATCGGCTTTTCGTGATGTCAGATATTGTGTTTTACTCTTGATTTCTTTAAACCTTGATTTTATTCAAGATTTGGCGTAAGGAATTTAAAAATTCAGCCGATATGGAAAGGATAAAGCAGAGATACAGATAAAAAACATGTTGCTGTTATGGTCACGTTAGAAAGAGGACAAAATTTTCTCATATATAGCAAAATTTTCAAGTTTCACGGTTGATATTTTAGCTCGTAGAATGTTTGTCTCTTGCAAAACCCGAGACAAAAGACGAATTTAGAAAATACATGATATTGTTGCTGTTGGAGCTTTTAAATCTGTGAAACAAGCTGAAACGGTCTAATACCTCGACCACTGTACATATATCACTTCCACTGTTTTAAACTATTACCTCAACCACTCTAAAACTATCGACTTCCTCGATTTTAAACTATTACCTCACCACTCTAAAACTATCGACTTCCTCGATTTTAAACTATTACCTCAACCACTCTAAAACTATCGACTTCCTCGATTTTAAACTATTACCTCAACCACTCTAAAACTATCGACTTCCTCGATTTTAAACTATTACCTCAACCACTCTAAAACTATCGACTTCCTCGATTTCTTCAAAGCTATCACCGCTATTAGCCGGTAATTTAGAATTAACAACTGAGTTAATAACGTAAATTGGCCACCGTAAAATGTTTTAAAGCTGGCGTTTCGAGCGTTACCCCTTCGTCATT